AAAACGCTACCATGAACAGGGGTCACCCGGTGAAGCCAACACACAGCATGGGAGGCTGAGAGGACTGGGAAAACCTAAGGCCAGCTGCTCCTACAGGATGAGGGAGGGTCTCCCTCCTAGTCTTCACCCTGCTACTGCAGAAGTCTGAGATGTGAGTGCTAACAGTGTTTTATTTAGAGATACTTAAAAAAAAAGTCCAGCTGTACAGTCGCAAAGGGGGCTTCTCACAAAACAACTGAAACCTCTCCAAGTCCTGATCACATCCAGCATCTGGTGAGCTTGTGAGTAGTTTGAGTTCAAATAGTGATATTTAAGCACAGATCGTCAGGCGGATGAAGAAATCTTCCACCATAAAAGACAGACACTAAAGCACCACAAAACAAATAAAAATGAGAAACGGGAGAAAGAAGAAACTTCAGGAAACTAGTGGCAATTCAAGGAAGAGAATACAACTTAAACTCTTCCAGCCTCACCCCCCTCCTGAGTGTGTGTGTGTGTGTGTTTTAAGATTGGGTCTTTCTATGTAGTCCTTGCTATCCTGGAACTTGCTATGTAGACTAGGCTGGCCTTGAACTCACAGAGACCTTCCTACTTCTATCTTCCAAGTGCTGGGATTAAAGGCATGCACCATCACACCCAACCTTAAAAAATGTTTTTAATTGAACTTTTTACTTCGAAAATTGGACTTGAAGCTGTAAAAAAATATTAAAGATTTTTCCACTATAAATTTTCCCAATTTCTCCTCATAGGAACTGTTACTGATTAAATTTTTGTTTTCTCTCCAAATTCACATGTTGAAATCTAATCAAAACCTGGTGGCTTGGGAGATAAGGGATGTCATGTGACAAGATGTGTACAAATCTCTATTCAGTTCAGACAGAGCACCAAGATAGACCAAAGGAACAGTTGCATCAGAGTCTAACTTGGTGAACAATGGCTTCATTAGGATTTCTCACAGAGACACGGGTGACCACAGAACTGATAGACACACCCAGGGATGGGGGACGACTCGTGAAAACTGAATCCAAGTAGGTTCCTATCCAGCTTCTGGCAGAGCCTTCTCTTCCCCAGAAACAGTGTCCTGAGTATGTATAACCCTGGGAGGAGCCTTGTGAATTCCATCAGTTTTCCCAGCCTTCTGCCGGAACTGATTCAATCGGGAGGAAGTAGCTACCTGACATGCCACCTCTTCTTCCAGCTCTTACATTCTTTCTTCTCCCTCTTGCTGTTCTCTGAGCCTTGGAGGGATCTGCATAGCTGTCTGGTTATTTTCTTCCTTTTATGGCTGTTGCTTACAAGTCACTCAGTCCATGCTACCCCATTGTAGCAGATTGAATACACCAAGACGAGGATCTTGCTGAACCACGGTGTAATACAGTAGAATATTAATGCCACTCTGACAGAGGCATTGGATGGGAACTTAAAAACTGTAATACAAACTTGTAAAACAAGATTGGAATGATATTTTAGGAAGGTAGCAGCAGAAGAAAGCAGGAAGAAGAGCAAGAAAAGTGTCTTACAAGTCAGCATGAGGGCTTGTGGCACGTGGTATTTTTCTTAGCTGACTAGGTCAGCTTCTTTGATTCAGTGAGCCTCCTCAAATACTGACTCACCTTCTTCTCACTAAAAGGTAGAATTCTGCTTTCTTTACCCCGAGTCTGGAGGAAACTCTGTCATAGACATCACATAGTTTAAAATTTTTAAAGTGTGTGTGTGTGTGTGTGTGTGTGTGTGTGTGTGTGTGTGCCTGTGCAAGTGTGCATGAGTAAGGTGCCCACAGGAACAAGAGGTAGCAAATTCTCTGGAGCTGGACTTACAGGTGGTTGTGAGCCACCTGATGTGGGCGTTAGGAACTGAACCCGGGTCCTCTTTAAGAGCAGTACACAGTCTTAACCACTGAGCCGTCTCTCCAGCCTCCATTGAAGACCTTGTCTTTTTGAATCTCAGACTGCAAACCCTACATCAAGAGACTCTCTAAAATTCTCAATATTCTTGGTATGTAGAGCCGCCAAGGATGACCTCTTAAAGAACACATGTTTTGAGACATACAGAAACTTTTTAACAAGTCCCGGTGCTGCACAGGCCCCAGTAGTAATGAGCCCAGCTCTGCCTCCTGAGCCCTGTCCAATAGGTTCCCCCTGGGGTATTCCCTGTGCCTCTAGGGTTCCACACATGTAGTCCACAGGAGGGATGGCCAAGGACTGGAAAGCTGAAGCCTCAGCAAAGGACCTCCAAGAAGATGTAGGCCGTAAAGTCCCATGCTGGACTGAAATAAGGTGAGAGAAAGGAGTTTGCTTTCCTGCACACAGGTCAGCTGTTAGAAGAGCCTTGCAAACACTCACCAGTAGGTAAGAATAAATGAGTAGCACAGGCTTGCCTAGAGTGAGCCTGAAGTGTGAGGGGAGAGAGCAGGCATGGCGGGTGTGATGTTAAAAACAGGTGTTCCGGGTTACACTTGGAACAGCTCAGCTTAGACTTGACTCTGCTGTTGGGAGGGAGGATGCTGAAAGCAAAAGACAGAAAGATGGGCAAAACCATCACACAATCTCCACATAGTCTACAGAGCAGGTCACTTGAAACAATTACGTGAAGCTGAAAGATGTCTGAGCAACTTCTAAATCAGAGTTGTTGTCATGGATGCTGTTACTGGATTTTCAATCCAGTTCATGAGGTAACAGGAAAAATGATCAGTGCTGTCCCAGGGATGCTTATAAAGTATGGTTGGGAACCGAGTATATGAAGAATTAGTTCTTGTGGGGGATGCAGGGCAAGGAGCCAGAGAGAAGGTGCACCTGGGTTTCTAGGTTGGATTCCTAACAAAAGTTATTTAAGGAAACAGGAGTTCTTACCGAAGATACACATTTGGTTGAATAGATGGTATATGTAGAAGCTACGAATTTCTTAGATGGCTGTTGGTTCTTGGGTGACAGGGACACTAATTACAAAGGTGTGGTATATGGTGGTGACCTCTATAGCCTCACATGGAATGCTGATGGGGAGTTGCACTCGCACGAGCAGACTTTTATTCTTTGCAGTTTCTATGTGCGGAAATGTATGCAGCTTCTAAGAGTTGGAGTTTGAAGCTGTGAGCACTAGATGGTCATTCAGTATTATGACAAGGAAGGGGCCTGACCACACCCCACTCAGAAAGGTCTCCCAGGCTGCTGTGTGAATGGAGACAGGAGCGGAAGAACACAGGAACGTGAAGAATGAGGAGAGGGATAATGGAATCCAGCAGCTCATAGGTCCCAACAAGCCAGAGGAGAAAGAATGGGGGAGCTTTAGACTGGACAGGAAGGTGGGGAGACCCCTGTCTTCTCTCGGTCACTATGTCTGTCCCTCTCGACTTTCCCCTCCCGATCTTTCTCCAACCCTAACAATTCTATTTCCTTCCTTTGCCTTCTCTAGTACCTCACTTCTTTCTTACCGTCTCCCTTCACTTCATCTATTCCCATTTCTTTTATTCGGTAACTTCCTCTTTTCTCTAGCCTAAGATTTCATGTCTGCTAAGTTCAATATGCTTCCAGAAGAGCTCTCGGAGCCCGATTCCAACATGGGTCACCATCTGTGCCTCTCTTTCATGAACCCCTCAACCCCAGCTCACTCCCGCCTGCATATATGTCCCATGGAACCTCGCCAATTAAGAGGCTTCTGAGACGAAGTAGCCAGATAGCCTCGGGTTCCAACTATGTCCAGTAATTACTTGACAAGTGTGCTGGCTAGTTTTATGTCAGCTTGACACAAGCTAGTGTCATCTGACAGGAGGGAACCTCACTTGAGAGAATGCCTCCATAAGAGCTGGCTGCAGGACATTTTCTTATTTAGTGAGTGATGGAGAAGGGTCCAGACCGTTGTGTGTGGTGCCATCCCTGGGCTGGTGGTCCTGGATTCTCTAAGAAAACAGACTGAACAAGCCTTGGGGAGCACACAGTAAGCAGCCCCTCTCCATGGCCTCTGCATCAGCTCCTGCCTCCAGGTTCCTGCCCTGCTTGAGTTCCTGCCCTGGCTGCTTTTGATGATGAACTGTAATATGGAACTGGGAGTGAAATAAACCCTTTCCTCCCCAAGTTGCTTTTGGTCACTGTGTTCCATTACAGCAGTAGTCACCCTAAGACAACAAGAAACTGCATATCCTATGACTATTAGTTCACCCTGCCCCCGGAAACAGCTCCGTGTTAGACACTTTCTATTGTCAGGTCCTGGGCAGTGCTGGGAACATTTATTTGTGAGCAAAACCTTTGTTCCCAGGACCATGTGACTGAGTTGAGGACGAAGCCCTAGCACCATGAAGGGTCTGTCAACACTGAGTGTGGTAAATGTATCAAGACACCGGTGTAGGGAAGGCTGGAGGGACTGGGACACTCAGCACAGTGAGTACTGCATGCTGTTCCAGGCATGGTTACAGGGACTTCATGTGTGAATCTCTATTTAGTCCACAGAAAATGAGGAAAAGAAACTATTTCATTGCTGTTGTTCCCACTTTACTGATGTGCCGATCGAGATCCTAATAAAACAAGTCACCCACTTTTGGTGCAATCTCAACGAAAATAAAACCTGAAACTGACTCAAGAGAGTCTCACTGAGTGTCTCCCCACTGCTGTGCAGATTTGGACAGGCAGGCTACTGACTCGACTGCTTGACTTTAAGGCAGTTCGTGAGCTTGGCATGCTACCTCACAATTGTCAGCTTAGTGTTGGAGAGGCTGAGACTGGAGGATCTTGAGTTTGATGACAGTCTGAGACACATAGTGAGACCCTGTCTCAAGAAACCAAGCAAGCAAATGCAAAACGAAAACACCATCTCCTGAATGTGTGTACCAACATGCACTTACAGACTCTTCAGAGACAAGTCAGCAGGTGGTATCAGGGTTGTCACATGAGGATGTGCTTCTTACAGACTTGAACAACTCAGTCTGAACCCCTGCATACTCAAAGGGCAAGGAGTCACTTCATGCCTTTGTATCCGTCAGCCATTTCCTGTAAGTGTGTGCACAGGACACCATGGATCCAGGGAACCTCACTTGGGTGTCAGAGTTCATCTTCCTGGGACTCTCACAGACTCATGAACTTCAGCTCTTCTTGTTTCTGGTGTTCTTGTTTGTCTACAGCATGACTGTGGTGGGAAACCTCCTCATCATAGTCACAGTGACCTCAGATTCCAGGCTCCACACACCTATGTACTTCCTGCTCCGCAATCTCGCTGTCATAGACCTCTGCTTCTCCTCAGTCACTGCCCCCAAGATGTTGGTGGACTTCCTCTCTGAGAGGAAAACCATCTCCTACCAAGGCTGCATGGCCCAGGTCTTCTTCTTCCACTTTCTGGGAGGGGCCATGGTCTTCTTCCTCTCAGTGATGGCTTATGATCGCCTTGTGGCCATCTCCCGGCCCCTCCACTACGTCACCATCATGAATACTCAGCTCTGTATGGGATTGGTGGTGACAGCATGGGTAGGGGGCTTTGCCCATTCCATTGTCCAGCTGTCACTGATGCTCCCACTGCCCTTCTGTGGCCCCAATGTCCTGGATAACTTCTACTGTGATGTCCCCCAAGTGCTGAGACTTGCCTGCATGGACACCTCCCTCCTGGAGTTCCTCATGATCTCCAACAGTGGGATGCTGGATGTCATCTGGTTCCTTCTCCTTCTCATCTCCTACTTGGTCATCCTGGTGATGCTGAGGTCGCACTCAGGAGAGGCCAGGAGGAAGGCGGCTTCCACCTGCACCACCCACATCATCGTGGTGTCTATGATCTTCATTCCAAGCATTTACCTGTATGCCCGGCCCTTCACTCCCTTCCCCATGGACAAGGCTGTGTCCATCAGCCACACAGTCATGACTCCCATGCTCAACCCCATGATCTACACCCTCAGGAACCAGGAGATGCAGGCAGCCATGAAGAGACTAGCAAAGCGCTTAGCAAGTTGCAACAGGGAGTGAGATTTGAACAGGATGACTTTGCATCAGAAATCTCTGACCTTGTGTTATTCCCCAGTGAAAAGGGAAGGAGAGTCCTTCTTACCTCCAAGATGTCAGATTGCCCCAATATTTCTGGGTGACCCCCTCACACTTTTTTTTTTTTTTTTTTTTTTGGTTTTTCGAAACAGGGTTTCTCTGTGTAGCTTTGCGCCTTTCCTGGGACTCACTTGGTAGCCCAGGCTGGCCTCGAACTCACAGAGATCCGCCTGGCTCTGCCTCCCGAGTGCTGGGATTAAAGGCGTGCGCCACCACCGCCCGGCTCCCCCTCACACTTTAACAAGCATTCCTTGTTATAAAACTGACAGTGGGTATATTATTATTATTATTATTATTATTATTATTATTATTATTATTATTATAGTAAATCATTTAGGGCCTGTAAGATGGTTTATCAGGTAAAGACAATTGCTGAAATCCCTGACAACCCATGTAATAGAAGAAGGCTGAGTTCTGGGAGTTGTCCTTGATCTCTGTCTGTATGCATATGATGGTGTGTGTGTGTGTACACAAACATGTGTGCATGCACTCACACATGAACATAAATGATAAAAATATATAATTCAATTTAGAAAATTAAACAGTTTTACAAATAAGAAAATTCAGAGCATGGGGGCAATCCTCTCAAGGTTAAGAATTACAATCTAAGAGACATATTCTTCTTCTCAATTCCCAGAGTGTGTTTCTGCTGAAGACTCTCTCCTTCAGAGCTTGGTCAGCAAATATTGCCTCACACAAATCTCTAAAATTATCCATGTTTTTGGTGTTTTGGGTCCCCAGGGAAGATCTCTCAGAGAGAATGTGCTTTGAGACATACAGAAACTTTTTTTGTTTTAACAAGTCTCACATTGCTGCTCAGGCCTCAGTAGTAATGAGCCCAGCTCTGCCTCCTGAGCCCTGTCCAATAGGTTTCCCCTGAGATATACCTTGTGCCTCTAGGGTCCCACACAGATAGCACACTTGAGGGATGGCCAAGGACTGGAAAGCTGAAGCCTCAGCAAAGGACCTCCAAGAAGATGGAAGTCATGAAGTGTGTGTCATGCTGGGCCGAAGAAAAGGTGAGGGAAAGGGGTTTGCTCTCCGGCATACGTGTCAACTGTTGGAAGGACTTTGCAAATGTCTGCCAATATGTGGGAGTGAATAAGTGATGTAGACTTGATGAAAATCAGTCTAAGCGTGAGAGACTTGGGGGTGGGCGGCGCGGGGGGGAGGGCAGCAGGAGTGGATGACGTGAGGTTGACAGCAGCTGTCCAGGTTAAATGTGAAAAGGACTCAGCATAGAATTGGCCCTAGGATTCAGAGGGAGGGTGCTGAAAATGAAACATATTTTTCAGGCAAATCAATACAAAATTCTCCACACAGCCACATATAACAAGCTTACCTTATTAATTGCTAATTCGAGAAGTTAGCTAACATTGTTGAAACAACTTCTGAGTCAGTTGCTCTGGTTGCGGCAGGGTTTACAATGTTACAGGATTTCAAATGTAGTTAATAGAGGCCACAGAAAGAATTCTAAGTGCCATGATGGGGTGTTTCTAAAGTGCTTCTGGAACTCCAAAAATGAAGAATTTATTCTCTCACACAGGTACTTTTTTTTTTTTTTTAGACAGGAATTAGTATTAATGATAGGGAAATAACCAAAGAGACAGCACATGTAGAAACTACATTCTTTAGACAGCGGATGGGTCCTTAGTGACATGATTGCAAAGATAAATGGGGGTGATATTTATAGCTTTGTAAGAAATACTGAAAGGGAGTCGTCACATGTATATGTGTAAACATGTTCTATCCCTAATTCTGTGCACAGAGCATCATATGCAGCCTCCAAGAGCTGGAGGTTTAAGCTGTGGACTCTAGACGGTCTCTGGAGAGTGTAGAGAGAAAGCACCGTCAGATCACATTGAGGAAGGGACCGTTCACTCAGAAGGCAGCTTTGTGAAACGAGGAAGGCGTGTGAACACAAGGAAGTGGAGGAGGAGAAGATAACGGTCTCCAGAGCTAGTAGATTGCAGCGGCCGGAGAGGAGAGATTAGTGAGACTGAACGGGGGAGTTAGGAGCCCTCACCCGGTCAGTCCCTCAGTCTGTCTCTGTCTCCGTCTCTGTCTCTCTGTGCACCAGCTCGTCTAACTGTGTCCACCCCGCCCACTCTTTCTGCCATTTTCTGGTCCTTCTCCTGCTCCATTATCTGTTCCTCTCTTTTCAGTCCCCCTTGACTTCATCTGTACCCATTTCTTTGCATCCGACTCCCCCTTTTTTTCTCAGATTTTGTAACATCTTGTAAAACTGATAGCCTTTCAGAAGAGTTTTGAGTGTCCCTTCCAACAACACACTATCCGTCTCTTAATTGCTGGGACCTCTCGACCTCCGTCTCACTATCCAGTGGAGCCTCACCAAGCAGAGGCGTCTGTGTTGGGGAGTGGGAGCAGCTCCATATTATTGGTGAAATTATTAAGGCCACTCCACGCAGTTAAAAGGAGATTTATTTAATGGCGTAACTTACAAATTAAGGGATAGGTAGATCGCGGGGTCTGGGGAAGGTGTATCACAGTCCAGCGGTGTTCTCTGGAGCTCTGCTTGGTCCACCTCCACTATTCAGGGTCCCGGCCCCGAGAGCGCGCCCGCCGATCCAGATCTCCGGTCCCCAGGCGCCTCCCTTGGACCCACCTTGTAGGCGTGACAGTCTCAATGGGGGTTGGAATTTCCAGATCAAAGCTGGAATGGCTACCCACTACACCATATCAAATATCCAGCTGTGTCCAGGGGTTCCTCTACAAGAACCCAGATGTTCTATAATTATTCAGCTACCCTGCAAGCCACAGTAGATCCTGAATAAATACTGCCTATTACCAGGAGGCCCACTGCTGGGAACAAATGAATTTTGAGATCCAAATCTATGTTCCCAGGATCTCGTGACTAATACAGTAAAAACATAGACACAGAAAAGTATGTTAATATTTTGATGTTATAAATGCCGTGTGAAAACAAGCACAAAAATCTAAAGACTGGGATAGGGGAGAGAACTGGGCTGAGACACACAGAGGGCAGTGGTTATTGCTTAACTCAGGCACCACTTGTAGGAATTTCAAATGTGTCATTCTACTCAACCCAGCAGAAAACTCAGGAAAGAAAGCTTTTTTTTTATTCCCAGCTGCACATGCCGGAGCTGAAATCCCAAGGAAATAAGCTAGTTACTCCTGGTTAACTCTGGCGGGGGGACAAAGGACATGTGAAATTCATCCAAGAGCGTCTCTCCCTCTAAGTGTCTTCCCATCACTTTGTTGATCTTGGGACGGAAAGTACATATTCTCTGGACAGCTTTAAGATAACTCATGAATGTATGTTCCAGAACCCACTTGTCAACTCTTCAGAGATGAGGCAGGTGGTCTCAGGGTTGTCACATGAGGATGTGCTTCTTACAGACTTGAACAACTCAGTCTGAACCCCTGCATACTCAAAGGGCAAGGAGTCACTTCATACATTTGTATCTGTCAGCCATTTCCTTTAAGTGTGTGCATAGGACACCATGGAACCAGGGAACCTCACCTGGGTGTCAGAGTTCATCTTCCTGGGGTTCTCAGAGAGCTGGGAACTTCAGCTCTTCTTGTTTCTGGTGTTCTTGTTTGTCTACAGCACGACTGTGGTGGGAAATCTCCTCATCATAGTCACAGTGACCTCAGATTCCAGGCTCCACACACCTATGTACTTCCTGCTCCGCAATCTCGCTGTCTTAGACCTCTGCTTCTCCTCAGTCACTGCCCCCAAGATGCTGATGGACTTCCTCTCTGAGAAGAAGACCATCTCCTACCAAGGCTGCATGGCCCAGGTCTTCTTCTTCCACTTTCTGGGAGGGGCCATGGTCTTCTTCCTCTCAGTGATGGCTTATGATCGCCTTGTGGCCATCTCCCGGCCCCTCCACTACGTCACTATTATGAACACTCAACACTGTGTGGTACTGGTGGTGACAGCATGGATTGTGGGCTTTGTCCATTCCATTGTCCAGCTGTCACTGATGCTCCCACTGCCCTTCTGTGGCCCCAATGTCCTGGATAACTTCTACTGTGATGTCCCCCAAGTGCTGAGACTCGCCTGCATGGACACCTCCCTCCTGGAGTTCCTCATGATCTTCAACAGTGGGATGCTGGATGTCATCTGGTTCCTTCTCCTTCTCATCTCCTACTTGGTCATCCTGGTGATGCTGAGGTCGCACTCAGGAGAGGCCAGGAGGAAAGTGGCTTCCACCTGCACCACCCACATCATCGTGGTGTCTATGATCTTCATTCCAAGCATTTACCTGTATGCCCGGCCCTTCACTCCCTTCCCCATGGACAAGGCTGTGTCCATCAGCCACACAGTCATGACTCCCATGCTCAACCCCATGATCTACACCCTCAGGAACCAGGAGATGCAGGCAGCATTGAAGAGATTAGGGATGCATGTGCTGGTTTGTAAGAAAGAGTGACTATCAAGGTCCTTTCTTGTGGCCTGTCCTTTTTGAAAGGGTACATCCTCTCTATTCACAGCTTAGGCATGTTTGCACAGTATCTCTGTGTTCTGCTCTGAAGTTTAATAACGGTTATGGTTTGAGTCTGAACTGTTTTGGATCAGCTCATCTATTTGGATATTTGGACCTCAGTTGGTAACTGGGGTAACTGTTTTGGGAGGTTGTAAAGCCTTTGGGATCCAGGACCTAGCTATCAGGCACGGGTTATTGGCGTAGGCCTTGAGGACTAGAGCCTAGCCCCACTTCCAAGCTCGCTGACTCTTGATGCACCAATACACTGTGATCAGCTACCTCGGGTTCCGGCCACCTCACCCTCCCGCCAGCACGGACCAAGTTTCTTCACCCACCACGGCTTCTCCACAAGGATGGACTCTATTTCCTGAACCTGTGAGCCAATAAAATCCTCTTCCCTTTAAGTTGCTTCAGTCCCAGGGACCCAACTTAGTTTTTTAGGAAAAAGGG